AGCGACGTCACCATCACCAACGACGGCGCCACCATCCTGAAGATGATGGACGTGGACCATGAGATCGCCAAGCTGATGGTGCAGTTGAGCCAGAGCCAGGACGACGAGATCGGGGACGGCACCACCGGCGTGGTCGGTGAGTGCTCGGGCGGGACCGCTGGCGGCTGCCGGCGTGGGCGAGAAGGGTAGAGGCGCGGTCGCAGCGCGAGGCGAGTCAGTGCGCGGCGGAAATTTCGGGAATCGCTATCCAATGATGACGTGTGAACGACGCTGCTACAATAGCCTTGTGTGTCGATATGTGGTCTTCATCTTGGGCTCGGCTAGAAAAGCATTACAGTTTTGGTTTGGCAAAGTGATACCATTCTTACTATGGTGGAGGAAGCTATTGCTTGGTTGTGAGGTCATTCGATGTAAACTTATTTGTTGCACGTGAATAGTCCAGTACAGCGTGTAGGCTGTCACTGATCAAAGCTTTAGTTTCGGTGTGCGTAAATGACTACGATTTTGCGAACAATTAGAAAAATTATGGGGAAGTTGACGCCTTCTGCGTATCTTGGCGAACATAAACAGGCATCAATGTAGAGGTTTTTGCTATTCTCAAATATGATAGGTGACGTTTCCGGTCACCTCTTCAATTCAACATTGCTATTTATATTTTTTCTCTCGAACAAATCGACTCAAGGCTATCTGACGTGTGCGTCGAGTAAGCCCGCTGCCGCCGCCCCATTGGGAGCACGTCCGGTCGTTTGCGCGCAGTGCTGGCGGGCGCGCTGCTGGAGCAGGCCGAGGTGCTGCTGGACAAGGGCATCCACCCGATCCGCGTGGCCGACGGCTTCGAGATGGCGGCCCAGTTCGCCAGCCGGCACCTGGACACGATTGCCGACAGCTTCCCGGTCGACGTGGCCAACACCGAGCCTCTCGTCAAGGTCGCTATGACTACGCTCGGCTCCAAGATGTGAGTGTGGCAGGGCGGGCGGGCCACCGGTGAGGCTGTCAGCTGGCGTCAGGCCGGGCGGCGCGTCGGAACGCGGCGCGGCTCTGTCGGCCCCTCGAAGTGGCAGCGTGTGCTCGCGCTCACAGCGGGTGCACTACTTGGAGATGGGATTTGGTCGTTGGTCTACACTTCAGAGTTTCGTTCGAATGGTTGGTCGCGTGTAAACCCGGGACTGGCCATCACTGGTCCACTTTCCGTGCCATGGAAGTGCTTGGGTCGGCTTGCCCGTGCACCGAGTGGACATCGCTGCTGATTGGTCGCCGGCCTGATTGTGTGTCCCGTTCTGATTGGTGGCCGTCCTTCTTGTTCCAGCGTGAACCGGTGTCACCGCCAGATGGCGCAGATCGCCGTGGACGCCGTCCTCAGCGTGGCGACCTCAAGGCCAAGGACGTCAACTTCGAGCTCATCAAGGTGGAGGGCAAGGAGGGCGGCAAGTTGGAGGATACCATGCTGGTCAAGGGTGTGGTCGTCGACAAGGACTTCTCCCATCCCCAGATGCCCAAGGTATGCATCTTTAGATGCCATTATTTCGCTTCACTGAAGGTTTGGGCTGGCTGCTGAGGAGATAGGTTTCCTCGGCTTGTGTTCTGGTTGGCTCAGGGGTAGCTGAGTTTTGCGTCTTGGAGGATATGTTATGCTTTGGGTTTTGCTTGGCTTAGAATTCTTCTCTTGTATCCCGTTCGAAAAAGTAGAACCCCTAATAATAATTAACCAGGTATGTTTTTATCGAAGGCTGTAATTCTTGGATAGGACAGTAGTTATTAGCCTTATTCCTCGGAAAACCAGCAGACTAGAGATATGGTTGGATTGGTATTTCGGCAACATGCCTTTCTCGAAACAATAGCAGAAACACTTATGCTATTGTTTCGAGAAAGGCATGTTGCCGAAATATCAATCGAACTATACCTCTAATCTCCTGGTTTTTCTGAGGAATAAGACTAATACTACTGTCATCTGTGTGACTAATGTTCCTCGCTAATGCACTGAACGACTTACGTAATTCTTGGATAGTTAAGGTCAGTCCACTGCACTGTAACATGAGACGGGATTACGGCTTTGACGTCATTAAGCTGTTAATGATGCGTTGCAATGTCGCATGCCGCCAATCCTGAGGGGTCACTCTTGTTTGCTGTCCTGCAGGAGCTTAGGAATGTGAAACTGGCCATCCTCACCTGCCCGTTCGAGCCGCCCAAGCCCAAGACGAAGCATAAGCTCGACGTCTCCTCGGTCGATGACTACAAACAGCTCAGGAAGTACGAACAAGAGAAGTTCGACGAAATGGTCAAGCAGGTAACTCCAGCTTAGCGTGTAGGTGCTATACTGTCAGTCGGTATATCAATGTTATTCATCAGCACTTTCGCTAAATGACAGCTCTGTTCATACATGGCCACAGTCTCGTCCTCTATTTACACACAGCCTTTGTATGACGCGGCCTAGCCATACGCTCGCGGCGACTTGCGTTCCGTCGCGCCGGCCCCCGTCTCGACCGACACGTCCCCTGACCCTGCGGCCCCCAGGTGAAGGACGCCGGCGCGACGCTCGCCATCTGCCAGTGGGGCTTCGACGACGAGGCGAACCACCTGCTGCTGCAGCGCCAGCTGCCGGCCGTGCGCTGGGTGGGCGGGCCCGAGATCGAGCTGATCGCCATCGCCACGGGCGGCCGCATCGTGCCGCGCTTCCAGGAGCTGTCGGCCGACAAGCTCGGCTCGGCCGGCCTCGTGCGCGAGCTCAGCTTCGGCACCACGCGCGACCACATGCTGGTCATCGAGGAGTGCTCCAACAGCAAGGCCGTCACCATCTTCATCCGCGGCGGCAACAAGATGGTGATCGAGGAGGCCAAGCGCTCCATCCACGACGCGCTGTGCGTGGTTCGCAACCTGGTGCGAGACGACCGTATCGTGTACGGCGGCGGCGCGGCAGAGATCTCGTGCGCGCTGGCCGTGTCGCACCAGGCCGACCAGGTGAGCCGCACACATTCTGCTGGCGGGGGCGCAGACGAAAGGTCGGGGCGAGATGAAATGAATGATTTTGTGCGCGCTTACTGCATAACTGCGTACTCTGGCTTTGTGCTATTGCGTGCTATCTTGTTACCTAGAATCATCACTAACTCGCTTTTACCTTATCATTACTACCCGCATTATTTCGAGCCGTTTTGTTTCGAACGTTTTTCCTCTGCTGTTTTAGGCCGATGTGAGTTTGGTTTACGCTGGTTTAAACTGGCTGACTGCAGTAATGAGCCCATTGGGGGACCGGGCCTGCATTTAGTTTTTGGTTTGTCTTTGTGCAGGATGATGCAATGGCATTTTGTCGCAGCGGTGTCCTGGTTTCCGTGAAGAACGTTCGGCAGGTGTCCCACCGCCCCCCCCCCCCCTCCCCCCCCCCCCCCCCACCCCCCGCCGACCTTGAGGGCTGGAGTCGCCGTGGCGGGATACTGGCGGAGCGGGCTGGGGTCGCCGTGGCGGGACACTAGCCTCGTGGGCTGGGGTCGCCAGAGCGGGACACTAGCCTCGTGGACTGGAGTTGCCAAAGGGCGACACTTGCCTCGTGGGCTGGGGTCGCCATGGCGGGACACTGGCCTCGTGGGGTGGGGTCGCCGTAGCGGAACACTAGCCTCGTGGGCTGAGGTCGCCATAGCGGAACACTAGCCTCGTGGGCTAGGGTCGCCAAAGCGGGGCACTGGCCTCGTGGGCTGGGGTCGCCAGAGTGGGACATCAGCGACTGCGGCATAGTGTTTTCTCAAGGCGGGCTAACGTCACGCCCTGACGCGATCATGTGACGCATATCCGCTGCCTGCCAGTCCTCCCCTTCCCGTCCCTCACACCCGGCTTCCCTGCGACCGTTTCCAGCCATCACGTGACTCCTCCCAGCTGGCGACCTTCTCCGGGCGCGTGTCGTTATCACCGTCTCTGGCGCCCGTGCACAGATCTCATCGCTGGAGCAGTACGCGTTCCGAGGGTTCGCCGACGCTCTGGAGGCGATCCCGATGGCGCTGTCCGAGAACTCGGGCCTGTCGCCCATCCACACGCTCACCGAGGTCAAGACGCGCCAGCTCAAGGAGAAAAACCCAGCGCTGGGCATCGACTGTCTCGACAAGGGCACCTGCGGTGAGCCCCGCGGGTGGGAGGGGCGGGACGCAGCGGCCGCCAGTCCGGAGTTCTGTGTCGGGTGTCGCTTGTGCGGGTGGCCGTGTTGTGCCTAGTAGTGCAGGCCGACTGGCGCGTAACCGGTGATACGGTGGCCAGCGTCCAGGCGTCTCTCTCTTCTCTCTCTCTTCTCTCTCTCTCTCCTCTCTCTCTCTCTCTCTCCTCTCTCTCTCTCTCTCTCTCTCTCTCTCTTCTTCTCTCTCTCTCTCTCTCTCTCTGTCTCTCTCTCTCTCTCTTCTCCTCTCCTCTCTCTCTCTCTCTCTCTCTCACTCACTCACTCCTCCTCACTCACTCACTCACTTTCACTCACTCACTCCATCACTCACTCACTCACTTCACTCACTCACTCACTCACTCACTACTCACTCACCTCACTCACTCACTCACTCACTCACTCATCACTTTTCACTCACTCACTCACTCACTCACTCACTCACTCACTCACTCACTCACTCACTCACTCACTCACTCTTTCCCCCTCTCTGTCACGTTGTGAGGTGTTGCCTTGGGTGTTTCGCGGACAAATTCACGATTGGTCCGTGGCCACCTATGACTGACACCCTCTTTCCAGATATGAAGGAGCAGAGCGTAATCGAGACGCTGCACAGCAAGAAGCAGCAGATCATGCTGGCCACGCAGCTGGTCAAGATGATACTCAAGATCGACGATGTACGCACGCCGGCCGAGACCATGTGAAGGGCTAGGGTCGTGCGGCTCGCGGGCTCCCTTGACTGCCGGCCCACCGCTCCGGGCCACCTCCGCCCAGATGCTGTGTGATGTTTCCACGCGTTCCATTAACACTTCGGTGAATAACAATCGAAGGTAGCTGAATAAATTTATTCACAGTCGCAGCGCGTTAAGCTTCAGTCGTCCTGCGGCGACACATGCGGGTACGGGTTGAGGGCTCGGAGAATCGTTCGTCAGCGTGCGGATCGGCAGGCGACGGGGCCGCGCGGAGTAAGCACCTGTAGCGCCGACCTGACCTCGGCGAGGTGTCACTGCTGTCGCCCGGGGGCGCGGCGGCGGCACTCAGTTCCGCGACAAGTGGCGCCACTTCTCGGTCACCTCCGTCTTCCGGCGCGGCTCCTTGTACGTCATGACCGTGATGCTCGAGTCGGACGCGACGTCGTCGACCCCGGCGACGGCGGCGGCGACGGCGGCCGCCGCCGCACGACTCCGCGCCTCCGTCAGCACGGCCCGGCGCGGCCCCTGCCGCTCCTGACACACGCGCACGCGCGGCCGCCTCAGCGTTTTGGAGGTGACGCACTCGGCGGTGCGTGGCCAGCCGTTGGGCGGCAGCGGTGCCACGCAGGACACGTGGCGCGTCTGCGTGCCGGCGCCGCGCGAGGGCGGGCAGGCGCGCGAGCGTGCGCGCCGCCGGCAGGCGCGGCCCGAGCCGCCGACGGCGCGGCGCGACTCGCTCTGCGAGCGCCGCACGCGCGCCGGCGGCAGCGTCGAGTCGCTGCTCTCCACGCGTCGTCGGCACACGGTGGTGGTCTTCATGCCCAGGCATTCGGAGGCAGGGCTGTCATTCTGGCTGTCGTCCCGCGCCTGGGGAGGTCCGGCAGACCATCAGGCGGCTGGTCAACCGGCGTCGGCGCCCGGTCGCGCGGGCCTCCGTGCCGGACAAGGGGTCATCCACATCGAGCGAAATGGGAGGTTCGAGCGGGCCAGGAGGGTCGCTGGACTGTGCCGTCGAATATTTACATCCGGAAAGCTGTGATAGTCGTGCCGAACAACACTTGACAGACCTCGACGGAAGGGCTAACCATCTGTGCACACTTCACCAGTGAGCGAATACAAACTAAATGCTCGGGTCTCAGGTGGCATTGTCTCCCGCTGTAATGATGCTGCTGTAATGATGCTGCTGCACGCAAAATTGAAACCCAAGTTCGTGGTAGATGAAAGAACAATGGCCCAATGTCTCGAACATCGTAAGGTGGCGCTATGAGCAGGCCACGTGCAATATTTCCCGTTAACGCTAGCCCGTGTCGTTACATTCGGGCCCAATGGATGATGCATGGGTCTTGTACCAACACCAAAAGTACTGTCATGGTGTTTTGGTTTTGTTACATGTAGCCTTCTCGCACTACAGTTCCGTGGATAACTGCGACCGTGGTGAACATGGCTGAGCACGGTGTTTATGGTGAACTTGCCTTGCCCAAGTTCATGCCGTGGAGGATGGCCTGCCGGTACTTGGCCTCCGCCTGGTGCTTCTGTTCGAGCAGCATCTGCTCTCTCCTCCTGGCCTGCTCCAGCTCGCACTCCAGCTGGTGGGCGTTACACGCCATTAGTGCACTGGTGTTGGAACCCTACCGCAGCCTTCCCGCCTCTGGAGCGGGCCATCGACGTAGTCGTGGATGGAACCAGCGTAGGAAGTTTTCCGCCGGTGAATGTGTTGTGATTCAATTGTGTCAGAATTCCGCCTCCTTTGCCAAGCGTTCGTGCCCTTGAACCGTTTACTGCACAAATCGTCCAATGCCATCTAACTGAATGTGAAGAGCCCGGGTTTTTTTACCGTGATATTAGTAAGGCGAATGGTTAAGATGTGAATAGGGTATTGACGACATGTCTTTTGGACCACGTGCAAATTGTGGAAATACTCATTAGCCGAAAACTAATGGCGATACGCCAAAACGGGAGTTGGACAATTGGAAATTCACCGAATGTATTATCAGCTGAATGCGTTCCTAGAAAAATTTCCACATGAGCGCGAAGTAGACGAACGTTAATTTGTCTGATGACCGATTAGCTCAACTTATTTGATCGAAGTGTGAATAAGGCAGTATAAAATTGTTTGAAGTAATAGTGCCCGAACACCGCTAGGACGGTCTATGAAGAGCGTTGCCTATTGACAGGAAATGGTTGATGTGGCGTTGTCAGTATTGCTAAAGACATGGAGCCATTTGGTCTTGCCTATCTCGTTTAGTTTATATAGCTGAACGAGCTCAATGAAACGAAGGTCCTCACCCGTTCGACCGGACATGGCTTTGCACAGTATAGGTCACAGCTGTTCATCTGTGCCAGAGCCCATCCGGCGGATCTCGAACATGCGCCCGGGTGGCCGGTTGAACACTCTTCGCTCCGGTGGGGGTCAATTTGATCCTTACCTCCTGAGATCTCAAGAAGCACGAGGGCAAGAGACACTAGATTCACAGCATGGGATGGTCTGCATGTGAACTCACGAGTCAAACTCTGAGATCCGTATTCAACATTGGTGTCAAGTACCCCAGACCTCATGCAACCGCCTTCAATCTAGATACCCATTCTAAGCAAAAGGCCACTGGTGTTCATTCTAGCTCAGCAACTGTTTACCCTTTGGAAGGTCATGGTGGCCAAAAGCTTAAAGACTGGTTTGATTTTGGAATTTGAGTACGCATTAGGCATTGCGGTTGGCGACACGTTTCTAAAAAGAAAGAGTTGGTCTGGGCCATTTTAGGTCGGTAACCTACCTGACCTTTAGTGAGTATGGTATGTTATGTCTGTATGTTAAGTCCAAGTTATCAAGAAATTTGACTGACCTCCCTACTTGACCGTTGGTCAATAAAATTTGTTTTTATCTCAAATTCGACTGTTAGATTGCCTTTGAAAATAGATTAGCGATGTATGGCTTCTTCTGACACTCCGTTGTCGCATCAGGTTGAACGATCCCCTCGAAATTGTCTAGGCTTACAGCCACAGGCTGATTTTGACCTGTCATGGGTGACCGACCTTGCAAGGTTCACTTAATTTTATATACAAAGGTCTGCTATTTAGTTTCCCCGGAGCTATGCAAGGTATGGCGCAGCTGCGCTGCGCCGTTCGAAAATTATTTAGAAAACCCTTCGTGCGAGTCAAATTGACGCTACCCGAGCGCGTGTCAAGGGCTATTCCGCGCTGTTTTCTGTGTTGTCGAAGGGTGCTTAGTTCTTGTGGCAACAGGAGCGTGTACCCGATTTAACCTGTCGAAAGTCACATTCACCATGATTCGGTGGCACGTATCTGACGCAACTTGAGGGTTCCCAGTACGGTCCCCTTGGCTACAGTTTGCGTTATTTTGTGTTGCGGAGGCTTGTCCTCACAGGGCGACGGCGCAAGGAGTACGCCCACCGGGCCAGGGTTAAGGGGCCGGGGGTTCGCTCTAAAATCCAGTGAACATTTGGACGCATATACGTTCGACTCTGGCATTCTGATAATAGGGATTCGACGAAACAACATTGCTGCGAACTACGAATCGAATACAGAACATTTCTGCAACTTAGCACTTGAACAAAAATTTCGGTAGCTCGTATTCGGTCGACGAAAATTTCGCCTTATTAGCCCACGGCGAAAGAACATGGCGTCTTCTTAGCAATCAACGAGAGCATTTCAGCAATTCGGCATTCGTTCGAGTAAAATTTGATAAAAGCGTTTTTTAACTACTATTTTGGTTCAGTTCTTTATATAAACAAGCTGTCAACTTGCCGTTCAACTTGAAGCATTTCGCCTCATTGGCTCGGCGGCAAAAAGACACCAGACAAAATGCATTCAGCAAAAAGCATTTGACTAAATACATTTCGGTTATTTGTCCGCAAGCCATTAAACCGACGCCCGCCATCCTGAAAAAACACGCACCAGCCCGCGAAGACCGCGAAGGTTGTCATTGTCGCAAGAAGCGGGATGGGGCTGCAGTGCCACCACTGACCTGCTCCACGCGTCTATAGCGTAACCTCTCTGTTTGCCGTTTGCATTTGCACACCTTCCCCGAACAGGGCGGTCCCGCGTGGTATTTTCGGCACTCCTTGGCCAGCGCCTCCTGCTCGAATGCTTTGCTGAGCTGTGCGCTCAATTTCCTCTCGTATACCTTGTTGCCTATCTCCTCTGTCCTCTGAAAGTGCGTGGTCAGATCGGTGAGGCTTTGGCTTGATGGAGCTATGAAGACCTGAAGTTTGCATCATTATTTAACAAACAAAGGCTTGTAGCTTGGAACAATCGACACAATTCGTAGCCCGCGCGCCACTTAATCCCTCTTCGACCATGAAACCCAACGCGACTTGCTGTCGGTACCGGCGTAACAGCACAGAAGCAGGACGATGTTCCAGCCGACCCCGCGGGGCCAGACTCCCCACCGCTGGACACCGCCGCGGACTCACCATGTACTCGATGTCGATGCAGTCGCTGTCGCCGCCCGCCTTGTCGCGCACTTCATCGCTGTCCTCGGCGCTCGCCTTCGCCTTCCGCGCGTTGCGGGCTATCCGTTGCCAGGCATTGAAACACCTGGCGAGCTGGTAGCGGACGCGGCGGCGCTGCAGGGCGTCCGCCATCTTCTCTATGATCTTTTTCTGCTTTTCGGCGGTGTTTTGGTAGTATCTGGACAATGCGGGCAGCTATGACATTGTCGTTGACCACATGAAAAGAGCTTTTATAATTGTCAGAAAATATGTGCTTCGCCGATCCCGCTAAATTTTGTCATGGGAACACAGTTGTATGACAGTACTCATTCCAAGTCCATACGCTTTTATCAACAATTGTCACAAGAATTGATTTTACGTCGACACTTCAGAGACTCCATTTCATCCCAAAAATGTTATTGCTATAAGCCTCGTCAGGTTTTGGATATCAAGTGGGCTTCTTCATTTACGAAAAGCGTCAAATGCATGAGTCCGTTACAATCATGCTCAGAGCTCAACGGGGCCATTGTCACGCTCTTGAGATGAATTCAGTCATATCCATGTATGAATCGGAATAGTTAATCGGAATAGTTTTGGTGGCTCGCGCTTTGTCACTTCAAGCCCTCGCCGAGCGGCTGTGGCTTCACTCTTACGCCAAGTAGGATGACAGGGGGTGGCATCTTGCCATGTGACCCCGGGAGTACGAGACCCAGGAAGCTTTCTGAATTAGATGAAGAATTTGATTCCAAGAATTGTCATATAAAGTATCTTAACATCTCGAAGTATCGAAAAGTATCCTAGACCTGCTGCTAAACCTTGCAGTTTATTTCTGGGCACACCCAACATAATAGAGTTTTTGGGCGAATACGTCATAACCTCTGGTGCTCTGTGCTCCAGTTGGAGTTCGGCCGGCTAATTTTAGAGGGCCCTAGCAACAAGCCCCAAACCTGTTTCCTCGAATACCTTTCGTCGTTGGAACATAACAATTCCAAGAGATGTTTTATCAGCTCTGGCCAAAGACAGCGGAATATCAATGGCGCTGGGGATGTTTTGTCAAGTTAACCTCGCGTAACACTACGGTTGAAAATGCTCTCATGCTTAGAAATGCCACTGTGATAAATATATTTGCAAATGCCGGTATCTTCATCTAACAGCTCGTGTTAAGCTAAAACTAGTGGGAATTACCCCAATGTTAACAGCGAATGCTCGTCAAAGAGCAAAATTTCATGAATCAAGAGTTGACACAACTCTCTGCAAACAACATATATTTTCAGTAGCCGCATGCCCCTTGATATCAAGCCGACAACGAATGCCTGTAAACGTCATGTGGTGCCCAAAATGGCGAATCACATGCGATGATCAAGTGCTGTGCAGACCCGATTGGAAGGCGTGGGAAGTCGGCTGACAGTACCGAGTGGATCATGCCAGACTTCTTTTGGGATATGTTTCACGTACCGATTGGAATAACTTAGTTGCTTATTGCTTGTTTCTTTAGTGTACTGCATCTGTATTGCACACCACGAACACCGCTTGCGCGCACTCGGAAAACTCATCAGTTTGATCAAAAGATAGATTGGGTTTAAACAGGGCAAGGTTGAGGGCAAGGTTCTTGGGTTGAGATGCCAATGGGGTGGGTAAGCCGGGGTGATCTGGGCACAGGTTGTAGGCATTCAATGTGTGTTAACTCTTTATCTGCGGGATTGAATGTTCTCACCGTGCCACTGTTTGTTGTTCTCGAGCCTCAGATAAGCTTTCAGCGTACTTGAGCGTGTACTTCCTCTCAATAAGACACAACACTTCAGCAAACTCCCGAAGCAGCTTTTGCTTCAGTGCTATCAGCTGCTTCTGTAACAGATCAATAGGAACGTTTGCGCAATGATATTCGGTGATGCCGGTTAACCTAATGAATACCGTCCACGTGTTATAAATCCACACAGTTCTGAAGGCGTTATGATCGTGCTTGCCAAACCAGGCGTACATGGGCGCAACTCTAAATGGCAACCCTGCATAGGTGTACGCGTTGGTGTGGCACTCACCAAACACTCGTCTTTCAAGCTTTCTGACACGCTGTTAAGGTAGGGCACAGTGTCCTTGAAATCGGGGTCGTCGGCTGTGATGCCGTCAGCTGCCTGGCGCACTGCCTCGGCTGCAACAGGACGTGACATGTCTTAATACGGACGTTTGTAAAGCAGCGAGGTTCCCGACGTATGGTCGTTAACAGCAGACGAAAGAACAGCACCTGGATCGGATGTGGGCGGATTGTGATTTCGCTAAATTCTTGTGTTGTTGGCTTGGGTTGACTACACCTTACCAAGTTTCCTCCATTCACAATTTGCCCGCATTGGTATGCCTTTAGGTCGTCACAGTTATGCTCACGCGTATTATGCTCACGCGTACGTTGCTGGTCGATTCGTTACGCCCGAGCAAAGTGTGGCCTGCGTGAACTTTACCATTTTCCATAAATGCAACTTTAGCTCACCGCCACCCCCTCTCGGCGTTCCAGCGTCTCCTCAATGCGTCAGTTTGCCCGCAAATATGATCAGTGGCACGCTATTGAACGGCTCACCGGAACACCCATCGTCGACCACGTCCAGGGACATGACGCTGGAGTCGCCGGAGTTGGACGTCGGCGCCGGTCGGGGGTTGGACGCGGCTGGAAAGGAACGACTCCTGGAGAGCGCCGGTGGCACTTCGGGCCGTGACGCGGGTACCGTAGCGCCGGCCGTCCTCGACCCGGTGGCCGCTCGTGCCGCCGCGCCCGCCAGCGACGCCCTGGACATGTGGCCGCTCCATCGGCCTTGCGGGCTCTGGTTCCCGGAACTCTGGTGACCGGAACAGGAGCCTATCGGCGGATAGGGTGCCATTCAGGCTTTGATTGTGGCCTTTGTGGCCGTAGCGAAAGGCTGCTGGGAGACGGGGACGTAAGGCATCGGGTTAGCTCTGATGATTCGATCAGAACCCTATGCAAAACAATGTTCTTCAGGTCAAGGCGCTAGTGATTTCCAGAGCTCAGCATGATCAACAATTTGACCTATTCATTGTTGATCACGCTGTGCTATTCTAATCATTAATCAAAACGTGACGCTGGCGGCAACAGGAAAAATGAATTAATAAATGGTGTTTTCGAAGCATCACGTCCTAGACGTGTCGTGAGAGACGGAACCCACAGGGTACGTCCGACGCGAATTGGTGACAGTAGGAAACGGTGTGGTGACGCTCAGCGTAGCGTACCTGACTGGTGTATTTTCTCGGCCAAGTCATCCAGAACAGGGCAGCCTGTCTTGGACAGGGTTGTTTTCACTCCTTTGGATCGACACCAAGAAGGCAGTTGACAAGGTGGCTCGGCAGAAGACCCCGTTTGACCTGGTGCCGGAGCTTGTGACTGTTGTCCGAAGTCATTTGGAATGTTAGCATCAATGCAAAGTCAATGTGTAGGTACATGAACATCGGTTATCGTATAAGCACTCTATTTATTCTTACTCTAAATATTGCACGTGTGTGCCCGCGCGGACCGACCGACGTGAATGTAGATATTTTTGTTTCACAACTTTCGTCCGACTTTCACTTATTTTGCAACTCATATCGCTAGTTAAAATCAACTCAGCATGAAATTTGTAAAGTTTTGGACCAAGAAGTCTCAAATCATCAGTCAGCATTTAGCGGAACTACAAACCTCACCATAGCAGGTAAAGGCAATGAACCCTCGGATGTCCTGGTTGGGCCGTTATTTGATTTGCGTGTTGCGTATTCGCAAGCGCTTCATGTTATGCTATTTCCCTGGTTGATCGGTGTCAACATTCCACAGGTGTTACTGATAAATATGATTTGTTGTTGGGTGATACTATTAAGCCACGAACGTCCCCTTGCGCTGCAATTGGAAAAATCTGCGACGCCATTTTTTTGCATATCGTCCGCGAGGTAATAACACGTGATGGCCAGCGCTAAGGTCTTTCACGCTGGCATGCCATTCGTCGGGCAGCACTAATAAATATACTGCTACGCGTGATTCCACTATCTAAATACTTTTGTCTGTTTCTGTGGTTTCTTGCTAATCTTCTGAGCGGTATCTCTCATACTGGCCACCATTACGTTGCGTGGCTAGTATCTAATATTTTTGCTTTTTCGTTTGTTTTGTGCTTTCTTATACGCTCTTGCTTTAACTCTAATTTTTGGCGACATCCCTCATTTTGGCCATCCGCGTTAACACGACATGAACGGTTCTCATCTTTGCGCAATTTAATCATGATCACCCGATGGATTTCTCATCGACACAGACGAGAATCACGAGATTCCCAAAGTCCAATTTGCATAAAAGCAACAAGCGCCGTGGACTGACTTGATCATTTAGGTGAATGTTCCTGGATGGCTTTTAAAGTAACTTAGGTACTCGCACATTTCGTTGTGCAATTCACGCTTTTTGAAGACGTTTACAAATACTAATCAGCTAAGTAATAGCGCCGCCTCATAGGAATAACCACGCACAGCTAATCTATATTTAGTTGTGTGGGTTAGCTGTGCGTGTGGAAATGATGGGTGACATTCACCCCATTTGGCTTCCCGTATCGATCCTGTCGATGGGGTTTCGCGACGCGCTCAGCTGCTTTACATGGCAGACTACACAGCATCGCCTGCCTGTGATCCTAGCACGAAAGGCAGCCACCGCGGGCCCACAAAAGTCTAGAGATATTCACTTTTCACTAATAATCAACCCCACAAAAGAAACACTCCTTATGATTATTACACCTTCCAGCAGTAATCACATATGTTTGCATTAATTATGCATGCCCTTGTTAATGGTGGCTGTTGGCTAGTTGGCCCACTGTGTTGATTAGCAGGTAATTAGCGTGGAGACAATTCCCTGTGATAAACCGACTACCTGGAAGCGACTGAAAATGATGGCGAAAGCATTGGCTCACCGGCAATATATGGGCTTCCACGAAAAAGATGATTTCGGCCTAGCACGTTGGGCAGCAAACATCCCTTTACTGGGATCCCGCGCCTAGCACCCTATGTTAATATCATCTCATGCATGCTTGTTTACCGGTCATATTAGTGGTAGGCCTATGGTGTGGTCGCTACACACAGTCTGCAGGCTATTTACATTGATAAGACCCCGGAATCGTAGTCATGCACCACGCATACCTCGAAATCTGTCCCCATTAGGGAGTAGCCACCTGGTGTAAAAGTCACCGCGGTATCACCACGTAGACCGATCCTCTATCATTACTGAATTATGTCAGAATCCCTCGTCGGCCCGCCGGAATTTCTCATCGGTACACGAGACTTAGTGGCCGGAATCACCCATCGGGACCCTCGTCAGCCCGCCGGGATTTCTCATCGGCTCGCGCGCGCGAACCTCGTCTTCTGGGTACGCTGAAATTATTCTAACAACGGTACCCTTCCTCGGCGGCCAAACTCACTGCCGGTGCCAGGAGTCAGCTACTCATCGTCATTTTAGCAAACCAATCGTCCGGACAGACCAAAACCAATGCACCAACGGAAGAGCCTTCAGACGCTTCCAGCAGCCCAATACCATGTTCCGACCTCCAGGCTCTGGAAGCATCAAGAAGGCAGCTAAAAAGCGAATCTCACGTTTTGCCTGTGGCGTGGACGTCAACAGTACCCTTAACATGTGCTTGCTACTTTTTTAGCAGTCACCGAGGTGTAAAAATGCGTTCCGCCTCATCTGTGAGCCGCGGAGGTGAAATCCCGCGTAGCAATACTGGTAAAACATCATGAGTCCAAAGCACGCATGCTGAAGAAACGACCTTCAATATACCAGCAAGTAATGGCCAAACTGACATTGCAGTGCTAAATAACAATTTTATTGACGGGACTCCATATTCGAACTGTGCTCATCCTGAAAAGTCCTGAGGATAATAATTGGTGAGACGCCCATTGTCAGGGGCTTCCGCAGGATTTCGTGATGGGCGCAGGGTCAGGCACAACTAATCAATTTTCGCTGATAACAGAGTGTTGCACGCTACAGGGAGCGCAATTTCACGAGGGTCGTAAAACAGCGTCATGCGATCTCGATACTCTTATTTGTACGTCTGCCTCGAATTTTTTCTGTCAACATTTACTCACGTAGACATGGATAAATGCTATTAATTTGGAAGTTGGGTAGGGCGCTTGACAGCGTGAGCTGCTATATGCGTACGTCTCTGCCCGCAGGCCAGGGGCGGATCCAGGATTTCGTCAACGAGGTTGGGGGGCACGCAACGTTGTAGGCCCTCCAGAGTTTGGGGCCCCTCCAAGAAATATTCTCGCACATTCCGGCCATCAGATTTTAAGACAAATAGTAAATAGTGCATGTACACACACCACACACACACACACACACACACACACACACACACACACACACACACACACACACACACACACACACACACACACACACACACACACACACACACACACACATATATATATATATATATATATATATATATATATATATATATATATATATATATATATATATATATATATAGTAAGCATGGGAATCCATCTTACTGCGCTAAAACTGGGTATATCATGCATACACATACATAGAACTCAATCATTTTCTCCAGACCACGTTATATGTTTCGGAAAAACAGACAAAATTAACTCAAGTTGGCTACTAAATACCACCAAAACTAAGCACGGACTCGATTCCTAGCTTATTTACGTCTAGCCGGCTGGGTGATGTAATCACCTGATGGCTGATCATAGGCGGATCCTGGGGGGGGGGGGCACGGGGCCACGGCCCCCCCCCCAAAACCTCTGAGAGTATGTTTTGGACCCCCACAACATTCCCAGAACTTCAGAAAAGTTGCGTCTACTTACCGTCTGTTTTAACTTAAACTGTTTTAACTGTTTTGTTTTCACTTCTGTTTAAGATACAAAAGCATTTCGGGGTTTTTCTTCGGTTTTGAATGACGTCCCTACTAGGTACTCGCGAAAGACACCATGAACTGGACCTCGGATCCCACACCAGCCAGCGGGCGACGAACGGTTTGCCCCCCCCCCCCCAAAAAAAAACAACAACTCCAGGCTAGATCCGCCCCTGTGGCTGATAACTAATGCAGAACTCTTTACTTGTTATAAACGAGTGCAAAATATTCTAGCATTCTAAGTATGTTGAGAGCGTGATGTACAAGCTTGATAAGTGTCACACACTTTTGCTAAGGAAAATCACACATGTGACGTCGGAGGCGCGTAATATTACCTTCGACAATTGCACGTAAAAAGTCACCGGCGCATATCTGACTGCTGCTCTGAGACTAAGGCACCAAGGCTAATAGGAACGGTCCCCGACCGATCATGCCCCGCGAGGCCAACAAAGAGGTTCCGTCAACAAATATAGGGTCCTCGAGGCATGTGAAAAGCACCCAAGACCAACGTGATGGGCCCCTAAACAATCGGTAGTGCCCCGGCAGGCTGATATATAAGGCCCCAGACACAGCGCAGGACCCTCTGAGCAAAGAGGAATTATGCAAGACCATGAAATGATGCCCCTGTGCAATCAAAAGTACCCGGGCAGGTCGTCCCGCTAGAAGTGAAGAGTCCTTCGCAAATGGTCAAAATCAAAGGGAAAGAGCCCTCGGCCAATGTAGAGGGTCGCTGTGCATCGAGTGCCTCGATGCCTTACCTTATATGAGCACCGCACAAGGCCCTCCGAGCAGGTGGAAAGAACCCAAGACCAATATGAAGGGCTGCTGAGCAGCTGAGTGTACCCTGACATATGGGCCCCGCAAAAACCGTATCGAGTCTTTCGGGCGAATGGGAAGAATCGGTGGAGGGCCCCTGACCGATCAAGTGTGCCCAGGCATGGAAGCAGATAGTGTCCCAACAGCAGCGTTGAGATCATCTGCAGAAAAATGGAAAAGTGTCAAGAAATCAAGCGTGACGTGGAAGGCTCCTTGGCAATCCAATTGACCAGGCAAGTGGATGTATATGGCCCGGGCCACAGCGTAGGGCCTCTGGAAAGCATAATGACCTCCACAATGTCCCTCAACCATTACCCTTTCAAGCAGCAAATATTTAAATTTGCTTGCTTATGAGCTCTATTTTCGTTTGCAGCCGTTCTATGTCGTCTGTAGTCCCAAACACTTTCAATGCTATGTTTGTTTATTAGAAAACTGTGTCCGTTCAGCCGGTTATCGGTCACTTCGAAGCCTATGGGTCCCCTCTGCACGTCCATGGGGCGTGGTCCGGTGCTCCGCCACCCCTTCTGTATCCGCCAACGGCCCGAGCAGCTTAATAGATCGGGCCCGCCAAGAACATAGGGCCATCCATTCAAATATGAAGCATTCAAGACAACATGGAGGGCTCCGGAGTCATCGAATGCGCCAGAGCAGGTTAACAGATGGGCCCTCCTCAAGAGCGTAGGGCCCTCCATTCAAATAAGAAGCACCCAAGCAGGGGCGGATCCAGAGGGGGAGGGGGGGCACGGGGCCATGGTCCCCCTTGGGCCCCGAAAGGGTCCATTGGCTCCGAGGGGCCCATCCCGCCCGAACAGGTGCAGTTTTTAAAACACAAAACGCAACAAAACTGGATATGTTCGGTCTTCCAGACAACCAAGAACAGTTGTAGCGAGAGTCAAGGGCCTATGAGAAGTCAAAAAAATATTGAATGATTGAAAAAGTTGTGAACCGGAAATTTTAGGCCTCATTGCACTATCTAGGAGGCCCATGCTGTTTCTGTAAGACCTATATGCCCACTTGCAGGGTCATTTCGATAGTTAAGGAGCATTTCACGGTGCCCTTTATTTCTTTGCATCTGCTCGGGGGCCCTGCGCTGTTGTTGGGGCCTTTCCTGCTAGCGTGCCGGGACACTCTTGTCAATCACGAGCCCTTCCACGTGTTCTTT